GATTTTACGGGCGCCGCCAACGCACTAAATAAATTAGACTGGGAAAAAAATCAGTAAACACACTTCAGCAATTCAGATTAAATGATATTTCAATCTACCAACAGCATGGTGGAGTGGTTGGTGGGAGAGATTTATAGGAGTCTTAAAGACATTGCTGCGAAAGATTTTAGGAAAAACGAGTCTCTCATATGAAAGTTTAAATATACTATTGTATGACGCAGAGGCAATAATTAATTGTCGTCCATTCACTTACATTTCAGAAGATCCTGATGATCTTAAACGGTTGTCACCGTCCATGTTCTTACAAGAAATCCGCGAATTTCGGATTGCGACATGCTTTATGTATGAAATTAAATTAGAAAGTTAAGTATAGATAATTTAGTTAAGTATAGAAAATTTTGAAAGATTTGCGAAGAAGATTCCGTACTGAATATCTAGGACAATTGCTACTAAGTGACAGTAAAAAAGAGACACGAATAAAAAAATAAAAATCGGAAATGTCGTTTTGATCGTGATGTACATAAGCGCGTAGACTGACATCTTACCCGAGTAGTAGATATAATTCCAGGTCGAAATGGTTTGGGAAGAGTACTTTGGTTTTAAAAACCAAAAGTGGAGTGTTCAAAAGACCAATACAACGAATTTATCCTTTGGAAATTTCTCAAGAGGAACCAGATCTTTCAGAACAACTGCCTATGAAGGTAGATCTATACAGTTCCAAAGAAAAGAGCATTTCGTTTGTTTGTAAGAAGGATGATACTAATATCGTTACCACAAGAAGCGGACAAATAGTTAAAAAGCCGGATAAATTTAAGTATTAGTTATAAGGGTAAAACATATGACAAGGTGATTTCTTTTCTTTTTTTCTCTTCTCTTCCTTCTATTGTTTAAGATTGTAAGAATTTGAGTAAAAGTTTCGTTGTTTCCAAAAGGAGGGAGAGGATGTCACAGTTGGTAATAAGCCACTTAAACGTAGTTCTAGAACACAAACACACGAGGGCGCGAGCGAGAAGCGTTGTTATAGAAAAGATTTTTCGGATAGAAGTATATTTTTTCGAGGGACTTGTTTTTGTAAAATTAATAAAAGTCCTTTTGGTAATCGTATCGCGCTGTCCAGTTTTATCTTTGGCAGAACGAATCCCTCCCCTTTGCAACATTCATCCTATTTGGGATCCTGCTTGATGCTGCTTAATTTCTATAATGGGATGAAACCTGCAACTGAAATGATGATATAAGTAAACACGGAATTTTGACATAAAATATGATAGATCCGGTTAATGTTATTATATTGTCATATAAATAGTCTTAATTTTAAAATTTCGATTGCATGTAATTTTTATGTAATTCTTATGGATAATTTAATTGCATATATAGATCTGTGAATCTACCAGGTGTATGCATAAGTTTTTTCCGGTTTAACTAAGAGATGTCGCCAGCGAAAAGTACGCAGCGTATTAATTTGACACATACATCATTTTGTTCGTTTGACATTTAAAACTACAAACACACACAAGTTGAGTCCGCCAAAAACTAGCGTCTTTGTTTTATCGTTCAGTGATCATGTCGAGTTTTGTGCCTGAAAAAGAACATTTGCGGCACGCATTGCTTTTTTTATTTAATCAAAAGAAAAAGGCTGTTGAAAGTCATCGTTTGTTGGTAGAAACATATGGTGAACACGCTCCATCGATTAGAACATGTGAGACATGGTTTTGACAATTTAAAAGTGGTGATTTCAATGTGAAAGACGGTGAGCGCTCTGGTAGACCACAAAAATGCGAAGACGAGCAATTGCAGGAGTTATTGGATGATGACCCAACTCAAACTCAACGGCAACTAGCAGAAACATTACATGTATCACAAGAAACAATCAACAGACGTTTACGAGCAATGGGAAAGATCAATAAACTTGGTAAATGGGTCCCACACGATTTGAATGAACGTCAAATAGAAAATCGCAAAGTCACTTGTGAAATGCTGCTTCAATGCCACGAAAGGAAATCATTTTTGTATCGAATTGTGACGGGTTACGTAAAATGGATTTATTTTGAAAACCCGAAGCGGAAAAATCGTGGCTTTCACCTGGCGAAGCCGGTCCATCAACACCAAGGTCAAATCGCTTCGGCAAGAAGACCATGCTCTGTGTCTGGTGGGACCAGAGCGGTATTGTGTATTATGAACTCTTGAAGCCCGGCGAAACCGTTAATCACACAACATTCCTGGGCTATCGCCAACAAATGATTAATTTAAACCACGCATTAATCGAAAGACGACTGGAATGGGCCAGAAGACATGGCAAAGTGATTTTGTTACACGACAATGCGCCGTCTCACACAACAAAACCAGTGAAAGACACCTTGAAATCGCTTGGATGGAACATCCTTCCGCACCCGCCGTACTCCCCAGACCTAGCGCCATCTGACTATCACCTCTTCGCATCAATGGGGCACGCGCTCGCAGAGCAGCACTTCAGCAATTTCGAGGAAGTTGGAAAATGGCTCGACGAATGGTTTGCCGCAAAAGACAAGCAGTTTTCTGGCATAGTATTCATAAATTACCTGAAAGATGGGCGAAATGTGTAGAAGCCGATGGCCAATATTTGAATAAAAAAAAATTAAATTTCCCTTGAAAATTACGTGTCTTTTTTTTACTAAAAAACCGGAAAAAAACTTATGCATACATCTGGTATATTATGTTTAATGAGAATCATTTTTATTATGAAAATTGTTTATAAATTTAAATTGTTTATAAATTGTTGAATATATTTTGTTTATTTGTTTATGAATTTGTCAATAATGTATTAAATATAGGAAATATTTTTGTTATTTATATATTATAGTTAATTAAGAAAGATAGTAATTAATAATAATGTTATTTCATTATTTATCCATTAAAAATGACTTAAAAATGACGATTAAATGACAATATATTTATGATAATATTTCGTGACAAATGTTATGTTTATTTTACGTCGTTTTTTAGTACACTGACAAAAAATGATCTTAAATCATCGTTATAATGACGTCATCTTGCTACTTGGGATACATAGATTTTATACGAATAATCTTAGTATATCCGATATGATCAGAGTACATTCAGTATAAATACAGAATATTCGTATGATATCATGTGCTGCTAAAATATATTCGATATATTCTGAAGAAGAGCTTAAGAATATACGAGAAATGATATATCATCAAGATATCATATGAATATTCTCTAGTATATTAGGCAATAGTACGTATGAACACAGTATTTTCAGTACGAGTGTAGAATATTCGAATGATATCATGTGCATTAGGGGCGTACACTTGGCGACTTTTTTTACTTTTTATAAAAAGTAAGTTTATTGTATTATAGACGCGCATTATTTCTTTTTTAGTACTATATATTGTTTAATTAAAAATAATATTTAGATAAAATTCTATCAATTTGTGTTACAATTTTGTACATAATTATTTCATATTATAAATAGTTGTGTAACAAAAAGAAAATTATTTACAAATTATACATAATATTTAATTAATGATTATAGAATCATTCAAAGAAAATACGAAATTAAATATTTTCACATAAATTGTAATCTTTTTATTTGCAATAACAGTTAATACACTTGATAAATATAATATATTTGATGTATATAACATACTTGATAAATATACAAATTATCAAAATGCGCTAATATTTCTACAATGATTCACGAAATAAACGTAATTAATCACCATTGCGAAAAAACAATCAATTTCAATACATTCAAATATATTGGTTTAATATGTCCTTTTTAAGGCTCTTACTGGTTTACTACACCTTGAATTATGATGTCAAAAACATGACAAAAATTCTTGCAAAATAAATTAAAGATAGAAATACTTATCAATAAAATAACGTTCTCCCTCAATAAAACAGATTTGTAAAACGTACTGAAAACTTTTCTTTCATTTCATTAATCAATGAATTAGTATATATTTAGAAATGAATTGTAATTCTTTTTTTGATTAAGTACAACTTATTTTCTAGATGTGATTATTTATTGATTAAGTAAAAGGAAAATTTTCAGTATATTTTACGAGTCTATTTTGAGTACAAATGTAATTTTATCAGCAAACATTTTTATTTTGATGTAGTTTATAAGAATTTTATAATTCAAGATGCAGTGAACTAGCATGAACCTTAAGAGCAGATAATTAACATAAAATACATTTTTCTAATTTATTATATTATACTAAAAATATTTTAATTTGAATTTATTTATTTGAGTTTCTATAGATGAAATACAATTCTTATTTTTGTAAAAATTTTTTTCAAGGCTAATTTCTAAAGATGTATTTTATTGCGGGAGATAACTATTAATTACATAACGTAAATCTATCTCATTACATAACGTAATTGCTCATTATTGATACTGCAATTATTGATACTGAGATCATGTAACAAAGATTGTTTTGCAATACAATTTCACATATTTGAATATCCGGATTCAAATAAAATCTATATTATATACAAAGTAATGAAAAAATTGCTTTATAAGAAACCAAACAATTATTGATAAAAAAAATTATATATATATTTATTACATACGCTTTTTTTACAAAGACATTACTTTTACTTCAATGTAATTTCGAGAATATTGAACGGAGTAAGTATCATGGAAGTGTTGTTTTCATTTCCAAGAAACATTATGTTATAAAATCCCAAGAGAGCTTATTACGTTATAAAATCCCACCTTGTTTGTATCACTTGATATTACTTTGATAATTAGTCTTTAGTATAGTAAAGTAATTTAATTCAAAAATTGTATCTTACCATAAAGAAGATAATTTCTGTTTTGAGAAAAATCACTAATCGTACATATTAATTATTATTTTATTATAAAATTAATGTATTTCTGTTTTACTTCTATTGTATCTTAAATCTAAAAAAGGGAATTACGAATGTAAATGAATAGAATATTAGTCTTGAAGGCATATTAAATTGGAAGAAGTTTAAGCAAATAAATTAATTTATTTCACTTTCACAAGTATTTATTCAAAGAAATATATGATACACATAAACATATGATATACAAAGAGGAATGTTTGTAAAATCTCGCAACATCGTGTTGTAGAATTGGACCCTATAACCAACTTTTTTTTATAAATAACTAATAAATCATTGAGAAGGAAGAAGAAAAAAAATTATCGGCTTTGTATTTTTTGTTTCTATTTCCACTAATTTAAACAACTTGACTAGTTTAGAAGTAAATAAATAAATTATATCTCAATTATCTGACAATCAAAGAGTCCAATAAAAAAAGAGGGAAAGATTAGAGAGCAGTAGTAATAGGTTAATTTTTAACAGAATTCTTAAGATTTTTATGCAATTCTTTTTCTTCTTCTTGATTAAGGATATTTCGAGATGAATTAAAATAATTAGTTAGAAATTACATTATACCCGTTTTAACTTGATTATCAGTATATGAATGATTCACACATTAATATTAGAAATAATATAACAGTATATTTTCGCTAAATTGCGATTGGAATATGTGCGAGTTTAATGACAAACTAAGACTCTTTAACTAAGATTCCTTGTAATGTGACAATGATATTAATCTATATATTGCATAGCAATCTTAGAATTATTAATTCATTCGACGATTGTAGTACAGATGAATGCAAAATCGGCTAGTTATCTCACAAAATATAGGTACAGAGAATAAGATTTACAGCTTATAAGCGTTGCGCATCATTAAATCAAAATATGCGTCATGATCTATACTCGCGCTAATAGCACTATAATAATTCATAAATTCCTCCTCCGTTACCTGTAATGAGAAAGACAAAATGATAAACGAGCTTTCTAAATAAATATGCAATAAGATAAATATGCAAGTATAAATAATTATGTATTACATGTATGTACATACAGAATACCTATTTTATTAATTTTCAGATCATCTTTTGTGAGCAGTAGAATGAATTAAATTGATTATGAATAGAAAAGTCCTGTATTATTTTGTAATTTTTGCAATTAATAAAATTCAATTAATAAATCTGTGAAGGAGCATGTATTTAGCGACAAGAACACACGTGACGAGAAGAGACAACTCAATATTACACAATATTCGCGCTATTATCAATGAAACACAGTTTTAAACAATTCGATATTTTCCTAATTTCTAAATGCGCGTAATGCCGTATGACTTCTTGCACGCATGTTTATGTGTGGATACTATATATTATTTTTCATTAATTATTGCAAAATTGCAAAGTAGTAAAAAACTTTCCTATTTAGTTCCACTTTATCTGTTCATAAAAAATAATCCGCGAATCATGATATATCTTATATAAAATATAATATTAGAAATAGAAAGAGAATTTCTTACTTATTTCATTATTTAATTAT